TGATCGTTTTTTCTTGGTTTCCCAGGGTATCATGTACGTATTTACTCATTTCTTCAAACTTTTGGTTATACTTCTCATCCATTTCTATAAGGGCATTTTTCACATGTTGTTTAACGGACTCTATTGCTTTCATAAAGTCAAATTTTTCCACTTCTTCCGTATTAGGGTGTTCAAGTCCATCTGTTGTAAGATCATTGGGTTCTGGTGTTTTCATGTTGTTTTTCTGATTATTGGGTGAATTCTTGCCTTGGCACCTGCCCATCTCCTCCTATCGAAGCTATCTAATGGGTCTTTTAAAACCGGATCAGGTTTCCCTGTTGGCCAGGGGCTCCTCTTACAAAACGCTGTCGCTCTGTTTCCTGGCTCCTGCCAGGGGCCCAGTTCCCTCTCGCCCCTCAGAAGGGTCTTCAGGAACAGGACCAGGCTCCTTCCTTGCTAGGGATCTCGCCAACCAAAGGCCTACTTCTTTGTTTTAATTGTATTGGGGCGATCTGCTCTCGGTGTTGTGCGCCGGTCCCCGCTGTCTGCTGCCGCCTGCGCCGTTCTGCCGCCCCGCCTGTGCCTGCGCCAGGGCTCTGCCTGATGCGTCACTTTCTCCAGACCCCCGTTCACACCTTTTATAAAAGCACATGATTGGAGAAATCTAATTAAGGCAGAGCCTGGCTGGATGGCAGTCTGAGAATATGCCAGTTTTCCAGCCTCTGTAGGCAGGAAGGTGAAGCTAATGAAGTTCATGAACATAGAGAATGAGGGGTTCAGGCTGGGGAGTGTGCACCGGGGTCACACCAGCTTTCAGGAGAACGGTGAGTTCCAGTCCAGCCTGGGCTACATAGCAAGAATCATTCGACCCTAAAAAAAAAAGTACAGAAAAAAAAGTTAATAAATGTAAATAATTTAGAAGAATCCTTGGCGAGGCATTAGTACTGAAGAAACGTTATTCTGCAGTTAACTCCGTTCTCTGTCCGTGGTCCTGAACCTTCATGGCTCTGGAGAGCCAAAGGAGACAATGGGAAAGACTCTGGGCTGGTTTTCCCCAGGGTTTCTGAAAGAAGATAGAAAAAGAGCCAGGGCTATGGGGAATCTACAGAGAAAGGTCTCCAGGGAAACTGAGAGGGTGAGATGTCTGCTGAACCACACTTGTAGCATTCTGGCACTCAGGAGGAGCACAATGTTTTCCTGTCTGAAAACGTGAAGGGGTCTGGAGAGATGGGTCAATCTGTGGAGCACTTGCCTTGCAACCATGAGAACCTGAGTTTGACCCCCAGAACCTGTGTGAAAAGCTGGGCACAGTGACATTGAGGAGGCAGGGAAAGGAGATGATGTGGGCTCTCTCAGCAGCCAGTCAAGCCTAACGGGTGAGAGAGGGATCATCCGGCTGCCACTGGCATTTCAAAGTTACAGGCTGTGTTGATTGTGGCAAGGGTCACCTGATGTTACAGCCTTGGCAAAAGAGTTTTGGGGTAACAGTATCACCCCATGGGTTACCTCTTAACTTGAAAGAAGGATGGAGCTCTTGCTTGCCTTAGTGTTCGAGACAGAATCTTGGTGTAGATCTGTGATGTAGCCCAGGTTGGCCTCAGACTCACTCTCCTGTCCCTGACTCCCCAGTGTGAGAATTGCAGGCATGAATCACAACATCTGTCTCAGGGATAGAAACTTCGGTGTGTGTGCGAGTTTCTGTCTGCCTGTGTGCACGTACATACACACATGCAGGTGAATGTAATTTTGTATGCATGTGTGGAGGCCGGATGTCGACACCTTATTTTTGAGACAAGGTCTCTCTCAGTCTCACCTAAGCTCACCTATCCACCTATCTCCACCCCCTCGTCAGTTCCTGACTTTTGTGTGGGTGCTAGAGATCTGAACTCAGGTCCCTGTGCAGGCACAGCAAACACTCTACCCACTGAGCCACTCCCTCTCCCAGCCAAGGACAGAAACCTTTACAATGAAGACACCAAGCTGGCTCCAGCTTCCCCTAATCACCCAGAAGAAGATGGAAAGACACAGTGTTCCCTCCAGCAGGACGCACCAAGGACACAGCGCTGCTTCTGAATTATTCTGGGAAAATTCATGTTTACCCTGAACTTAAGTCAACAAGAAAGAACCAGATGAATCCAAGGGAAACAGTCGATGGAGCGCTACCTTAGACTCTCCTTAAATGTCAGCATCACAAAAGAATAAGCAGAAAGGCTATGGACCATCCCAGATCAGAGAGAAGGAAACGTGACGTTGAACTCCAGCTGTGAGGAGAACTGGATAAATGATCGGGACTGAGTAAGAGCAGAGTACAATGACGTACATGCATGAGATTGTCTACAAAGCCAGGTGTGGTACCCCACACCTCTAATCCCAGAACTCAGGAGGGGAGGCAGGAAGATGAGGGGTTTGGGGGTCACCCTCCACTATGCAGTGAGTTAAAAGTTAGCCATAGCTATGTGTAACCCTATTCAAAAAATATAGATAGATAGATAGATAGATAGATAGATAGATAGATAGATAGATAGATAGATAGATAGATAGATAAAATGAGGGGCTGGAGAGAGGGCTCGGTGGTTAGGAGCACTTGCTGCTTTTGCAGAGGACCCGGGTTCAGTTCCCAGCACTGACATGATGGCCCAAAACCATCTGCAGACGCAATCCCAGAGTATTCAATGCTCCCTTTCAGCCCCCAAGGGCACTAGGCAGGGACATTTATACAGATATGTAAGCAGGCAAAACATTCACACATATAAAATAAATTGTAATATCAAAAATTTAAACCATAACTATATATATATTTTTGAAAATTTGGCCCAGGCAGTGGTGGTGCACACCTTTAATCCCAGCTCTCAGGAGGCAGAGGCAGGTGGATCTCTGTGAGTTCAAGGCCAGCCTGGTCTACAGAGCAAGTTCCAGGACAGGCCCCAAAGTTACAGAGAAACCCTGTCTTGAAAAAAAAAATTTTTTTGCACTAAGATGCCAAAGAAAAGGCTCCCATGCTTCCTGTCTGTCTCTGTGACAGTCCAGATTGAATTGGAGAGTACATGTATATGGAAAAAAATTTAAAAATAGATCCATTGTGTTATAGCTAAATTGACCCAATTCAGATATGCATGACTTTTTACTTTTTTTTTTCTAGACAGGGCTTCTCTGTGTAGCTTTGGAGTCTGCCCTGGAACTAGCTTTTGTAGACCACTTTAGCCTCAAACTCACAGAGATCCACCTGCCTCTGCCTTCCAAGTGCTGGGATTAAAGGCATGTGCCATCACCATCAGACAACTCCTTACTTTTAAAGAGATTTCATTTTTCAGTTTTGCCTGTGTGTGTCCGTACACATGTTTGGGGGACTGCCCATGAAGGCAGAGGCCCTGGATTCCCGGGAGCTGGATTTGCAGGTGGTTGTGAACATCAATGGTGGGAACCAAACCCAGCTCCTCTATAGGAGCACTGTGTGCTCTAAACTCCTTCCCAACTAATCACATTGTTTTCTGAGACAAGGTATTATGTAGTACAGATTGCCTTCTAACTCATTACCTAGCCAAAAATGACCTTGAATTCCCGACTCCCCTGCCACCTCTTCCCATATGCTCAAGTTACAGGCTGAAGCCACCATGAATAGAACCTAAGGCTTTGTCATGCTGGGCAAGTGTCCTACTCCTGAGCGACATTTCCAGCCCTCATCAAATGTTCTGTTGTCACAAGAACATTTGAAATCTATCATCTTAGCCATTTTATTCTTTTTTTTTTTTTTTTTTTTTTTTTTTTTTTTTTTTTTTTTTTTTTTTTTTTTTTTGGTTTTTCGAGACAGGGTTTCTCTGTGGTTTTGGAGCCTGTCCTGGAACTAGCTCTTGTAGACCAGGCTGGTCTCGAACTCACAGAGATCCGCCTGCCTCTGCCTCCCAAGTGCTGGGATTAAAGGTATGCGCCACCACTACCCGGCTAGCCATTTTATTCTTAAATTATAAAATATTGCTATTGGAAGGTGGACTGGAGAGATGGTTCGGCAGTTAAGAGCACTGGCAGAGGACCTGGGTCCAATTCCCAGCACCCACATGGAAGCTCACAACTGTTTATAATTCCAGTTCCAGGGGATCTGATACCTTCATATCAATGTATGTAAAATAAATCTAAATAAATTATTAAAAATATAATTATTGTTTCATGTGATATTTTGTTGGGAGGGCACACATGCAGAAGTCAGAGACATTTGATCAGTTCTTACCTTCAATTGAGGGTTCTGGGGATTGAATTCAAGTTGTCACACTTACAAAACATGAGTTTTTATTGGCAGAGCCCTCTCTGCTCTCCTGGGAACACTGATGTTCATTGTAGCCGGGTGTTGCCAATAGAGTGCCTGAAGCCACTACTTACCCCTCTGAAATTTTGTATCCCCTGAACAATACTCTCCAGTCCCCACCCCCAGCCCAGAATGTTCTCCACCATGATTGCCCACAGTGTCTGTGAATCAAATACAATGTATTTTTAAAGAACAAAGCTATTATTAGTCTAAGTGGGTAAATCTGCAGAAGTAATATGTTAGATAATAGAGTGTCGATGGAATTAGCAATGTTTTAGCTATTCTAAATAGGGGTATTCATGGAGCAGAATGTTCTTGATAAAGAAACATCAAGTGTTTCAGGACTGAAACATTTTGATTCTGTCTTAGTCTTGAGTGGGTTGAAGGAGGTACTATGGCTCTGAATCCCACAAAAGGTGACAGCGGTATTCATTGTCCTACTGATTGAGCTCCCCGGCAAGAGTGATAACTTTCTAAATAATCGATGGGAAAGCATCAACTACATTTTTCTATTAAGATGTCTACCATGCTTTGAACAATGACAGGAGTGTTTCTATTGTTCTGCATCAGCCAGGGCCACCATCACTCAGTGGTTACTGAAAGTTGTTGTATGCCATGCATTGTTACAGGTACTGGGCAAATAGAACACACACAAGCCCTTGTACTCACAGGGTTCTCCCACACTCTAGTGCAAAATGCTCTTCAACCTGGCACTTCTGTCCTCCACAATCTGTGCCCTCACTACCAGGCTGTGGGTAGCATAGAATGCTAGCTGCCTAAGATGTATCTACCTCTACATATTCTTTAGTAGTAGAGGTCTCATTTAATTACAGTGTGCATTTATGACACTTTTCCTGGAGACACGTGATACAAATATCTGTTCATTCCCGGTAGAAAACTGATGATAGGACCAAAGTAAGCTATATCATGGCAGACAAATTTGGTGAGCCAGTGAGTTTATTGGGATGTTTCAACTAAAAGGAAGTTGCCACATAACTGTGCCTGGCTAGAAGGACTTACCAGACTCCCTTGCAGCTAGGACAGCTGTCTCAATTAGAATTTCTATTGTTGTGATAAAACACCATGACCAAAAACAACTTAGAGAGGAAAGAGTTTATTTCAACATACAACTCTCAGGTTGTATGTTCTTCATCACTGAGGGTACCCACCCTTCCCAGATCTGTGCCACTTAGCCATCTTGAGGTGAACACCCTCCTCTTCCCTGGCTTCCTTTAAAGCAGTGGCTCTCAACCTATGAGTCGCGACCCCTGTGCTCGCATATGGGATGTTTACATTACACTTCATAACAGTAGTAAAATTACAATTATGAAGTAGCAATAAAAATAATTTTATGGTTGGGATCACCACAACATGAGGAGCCATACTAATGGGTCACAGCATTAGGAAGGTTGAGAACACCTATTGACTATTGACTATAACTGCCTTCCCCCTAGCTCAGAGTCAATAGAGAAAAAAAAAAAACATTAGATTGAAATCTCTGAATGAACTAAAAGAAACCCTTCCTCCTTGGTTTGTTTCTGTCGAAAATTTGATCACAGACACAACAGAAGTGACAGTGACAAAGAGTCAGAGAATGGGTCCTGTCCCAGGAGCCTGCAAACACAGGATTTGATTTCAGGGTTAGCTGTTGCCACTTGGGGGAGGGGATCTCCTTCCTTCCTTCCTCCCTCCCTCCCTCCCTCCCTCCCTCCCTCCCTCCCTCTCTCCCTTCCTTGCTTCCTTCCTCCACTCAGCACCTATCATAAAATCCTGGAAAATGCAACCTGATTCATAAAGACAGGACGTAGATTGTTGCTTCTAGAGGAAGAGATGCGGCGGTTAAGATGTCAAGACTCATCGATGATCCATGTTAAATGTGTGCAGTCCGTTGATGTAAATCACACGCTGATGCTGCAGTGAGCGCTAGGCTGTGGGACCCAGTTATCCCATTACACACGCAGCTGGCTGCTCTGGGAGAAGCTTTACAGAGCCATTAAACCCACAATCTGGCGACTTAAAGAAACATTAGCCTCTGTCCTCTAGGTGGACTTTAGCCAATCAATTGAGAAGCCTTAACGCAAAGCCAAAGTTTGCCTGAAGTAGGAAAATTTCATCTGTGGCCTCTAGTATGGTTTCTCATATAGGTCAAAAGCCTGTGTTATCCCCCTTCCTCTCCCTCTCCTGGGGGTGAACCAGGGCCTTGAACAGACTAAGCGAGCACTCATCAATGAGGAGCATAGAAGGCTGCCTTTTACTCTTCATGTATTTAACTGATTTGTATTTACTTTTTTGAGACTAGTCTCATGTAGCCCAGGCTGGCCTTGAACTTGCTATGTAGCTGAGGATGATTTTGAATTCCCGATTCTTTTCCTGCCACCCCCAAGTACTAAGATCACAGGTGGGGACAGGGTCTCAGTAAGTTATCCAAGTAGCCTGGAACTCACTCTATGTCCCAAGCAGACTTGAACTTTGGTCCTTGTGCTTCAAGCCCCTGAACTGCCTACTGTGCCCCCCTCCCCCTCCACCACCACCCCTCAATTCATTTTTAAAAACTGTTCCTTTTTTGCCTGGCATAACACTGACTAATATACTGAATAAAGATGTTTTTTAAAACCAATTCATTTTTAAAATGAAGTCTAAAGGCAGCTAGGTGTGGCGGAAAAAAGATCTCAAGTTCAAGTCCAGTCTGGGCTACAAAACAAGATTGTATTTCACAAAGCAAGGAAGGGGCCTAGAGAGATGCCTCAATATCCACAGCACTTGCTCCTCAGCCAGGAGCAAGTTCAGTGCCTGGCACCCATGTCAGGAGCTCACAACCACCTGAAACCCCAGCTCCAGGGGACCTGCTACCCTCTTCTGGCCTCCAAGGGCACACACAAAAGTTAGTATCTACCCACACCAACACATATATAAAAATAAACCTTTAATAAAAGTTTTTTACATTTATTTATTTGTATGCTAGTGTGTGTGTATGTGTGTGTGTGTGTGTGTGTGTGCGTGTGTCAAGATGGAGGTTAAAAAATATCTGTGGCATCAATTCTCTCCTTCCACTGTGTGTTCTGAGGGCCACACTCAGCTCATCAGGCTTAGAGGCAAATGCCTTTGATGATGAATCGTGCTTGTGTCTGCCCATGAATATTTAATTTTCTTTTTAATGGGGAAGAGGACTCGCCAGGAAGTGGTGGTACACACCTTTAATTCCACTCAGGAAGCAGAGGCAAGCTGATCTCTGTAAGTTCGAGGCCAACCTGGTCTACAGAGCTAGTTTTAGGCCAGCCAAAACTACACAGAGAAACCTTGTCTCGAAAAAACCAAAAGAGAGGGCTGGAGAGATAGCTCAGTGGTTAAGAGCATTGTCTGCTCTTCCAAAGGTCCCGAGTTCAATTCCCAGCAACCACATTGTGGCTCACAACCATTTGTAATGAGGTCTGGTGCCCTCTTCTGGTCTGCAAGCATACACACAGACAGAATATTGTATACATAATAATTAAAAAAAAAAAAAAACAGAATAAGAAGAAGCAGGAGGGGCAAGATGGTGAGCTGGAGAGATGGCTCATCAGTTAAGAGCCCTGGCTGCTTTTCCAGAAAAACTTGATTCAATTCCCAAAGCCCACATGGAGCTCACGACTGCCTGTAACTCCAATTCCAGGGCTTCTGACACCCTCATGCAAGCAAAACACCAATGGACATAAATTTTTTTTAATTTTTTAATAAACTAAAAGGAAGCAGAGGATTGTAGGCATGATGGCAC